AGTTTTATTAATACTGTTTTAATACTTACTAGTGTTGCTGTTGCTCGAATTCGAGCAAAAGCCAAGTATTACAGGCATTGTTTTAAAACGAATAACAGTCATAATGTCTGATGACTTTAAAAGATTTGACTCGAAGATTATAGAAATACTCAAGATGGACATAAAAGATCGATATAATCAACATTTCTTGTAAATATCTTATCATTTTTCAAAAGCTGACCTTGTTTTTTAGTGTTTTCTAAAAATAGCCTTCCTCATAGACGCGTTAGGTTGTCAATAATAGGGGAATGATAATCAATTATAAAAAATACATTATTTTTATTTCTTCTCTTTAGTGGTGTTCTATAACTTTCCTATATGTTTCCATGGTTTGCAAATCAAATCGGCTCTTTCAATGATTACTAAGAAATGCAGTACAGTGTTAATTCTGTTTTCTTTTTTAGTACATCAAATTATCCAGGCTCTCTCGCTTTTTTCCATTGTAATATTTACTCCAACCCAAATTCAAATTCAAATTCAAATAGTAAATATTTAATTCAATAAAGTCAGTAAATGTTTGTAGCAAAATGTTAAATTAGCAAGCTTAATGACTGTTTAAAATTAACTTATATTCTTCTTCTCACATTTAATTTCTGACAACAGCTGGAGTTTCATAAAAATGTTGGGTACTTCAGTATTAAACGGAGGCCACATTTTGTCAGCGCGCTGCGGCGGTTATGTTAGGTTGGGTTATCGTAAATATTATGTGTGTAGGACTTTCCTCGCTTCGTTATGAATCGAACGATACTTTCTATTATGATAACCCAACCTAACATAACCGCCGCAGCGCGCTGACAAAATGTGGCCTCCGTTTAATACTGAAGTACCAAATGTTGTTTCCCATGTTAATCTCATGGAGAAATACGAAACTTTAAAGGGCTCCACGGCCTCACTCTCTAATTATTTCCCTAAAAAGAAAGTTTCCTGCACAACTTCACGTTACGCTATTTCCAATGACACCATAAACATGTAAATCGGTTCAGTAGTTTTGGAGGAGTATGTCACAATAAACCTGCTTACGTATTAAATAAGTAGGCCTATATAGATGAAGTCAAACGGGGTATCTTTATATTTTGTTGTTATTTCGCTTATTTTTAAGTCTATTTTAATTTATAAAGGGATTCTGCACATATACAGGAAAATACCTTTCATTTGGTACCAACCGCGTGTAATTCGGTCCAGTAGTATGGTCAGGCTAGCTGTTATAAGTTTTGCAAAGGTTTTTTAGTATATAAGATATTCTGTATCTCCATGGCTGTGGCAGGATTATTTATTCTCAGATTTTGTTACTTAATTGATTTTTGACTATAGTAAATAAGTCAGATGTTATAACCATTGCTGTATCAACCTAGCTTCTAACCTTGAGTAAGTATTTAAAGTTTAGCTAATGTGAATTATTTGATTGACATATTGAGTGGAAATATAATAACATTATAATGTTTACATCACCTGAATATTATTTTGATATATTTTTGTTACAAATTTAATATACTTAACATGTGTTTGGATTAGGGCCTACACGTTAAAAAGGAAAAGAGTTTTTTTTTTCAAAACATACATCAATCCCTTACGAAGGACGATTCATTCATTTATTCATCCAGTCATCGATCAACACGGTATTGTATCCTTCAACAAATCTGAATGCTGCTTCAAAAAATTCTAACTACTCATTCAACTTGGACGCAGTTCTAATTAATGAATAACCATTGTCATCATTATTGAACAAGTAATGGTAATTATGAATCATCCTAGCAAATAATATCAACTTGGCATATTTAAACACACTAATTGAGTCCAACCTGAAATACGGGTATTTCTAGCTTCTAAGCATAAGTCCAAAATTAACAATTGAAGTCAATTTCATAGAGACTACTGTAATGTACCCACAAAGAGGATAAAAAAAACGGATTATCTAACGAAATTTTCGGGCACACCTCTAGTTATAATAATTTTTTTATGTATCTTTATTTACCTTTGATATGGTAGTTATTATATGTGTTTAGAAGGATATAAACCTAAAGTGGATAGTTATAATTTTTTCATCCGTGCATTTTTTTCTTTACTTAAAAACAATTCGTTCCCTAAAAATATTTTATGGACAGACTTAACAGTTCATAAAAGTTAAATTGTAATAATATTTTGGTAAATTGTTCATACAGATTTCTGAACAGTCAAAGTTAACTACAAATGGTATTACACCGAGACTATTCTCGAATTTATAACCTTCAGAGGTGTTATAAAAACTGTATTTTAGCACTTTAAAATACCTAAATGTTTGGGTGCCTCTGAACCCCCCCCCTCTACCCTGGGGGGTATTTCATACCCTCCTGGTTTTGGCCCTCCCAAAACGAAATCTTGGATACGTAACTGAACAATAAGGACACCGAAGAGACGAAAAATCTAAATAAAAGTATATGCAAGAGACTAACGCATCCAATGAAGAGAATAAGAGTTCATTTTCCTACTACTGGATATTGAAAATTTTAATAATACCAAAATCCCTTGTGAACAGTTACCTTGTTCAATATCCTTTGGAAGAGAATAACAACAAACCAAACTGTCTGACGAAAAGGATACCAAAACACGGAGTATCTAACGAAAAGGACATTGAAGAGACTAAAAGATCTAAAGAAGAGTATGAAAGAGACAAACTTATCCAACGAAGAGAATGTCAAAGAGATGAACTTATTTATCAAAGTGGCTAACGTTTTTAACTAAGATGATATCAAAAACTGTTCTATCAATGAAGATATCCAATTGACAAACTTAACTAACGAGGGAAATATCAAAGGGCCTAACGTTTCGAATGAAGAGATGATCAATAACACAAACTTATTTATCGAATAAAATGCCAAAGCGACTAATATCGAACTAAAATTATAAAGATACTTTTTGAACTAGATGAACCAAAATTAAGAACCATTCAAAACAGTCATTTTATTCATAGTTATTTTCTAAATTTGAATCAATATAAATATCTAACATACGTTTTAATCCTTCAGGTCTTTATAGTGCTAAAACATTACGATTAAAAAAATTGGAAACTAAAATACTTTAACATGACAGTTATCTAAACATGATACACTAAAGATAAGATTAAATATAATTTTCGTATTTTACGTTCGAAAGCTAACCTGATTATTGTCCAATGTAAAATAGCTTATAATCCTGAACTAAATTCTGAACGATGATGTGGAATCAATAAGCAAAGAATGTACGACTAACTTCGTATGAACAAAGCTTATACATCGTAATGCTGTCTTATTTTTGTCTTAACATAAACAAAACAAGTCAAAGGGATTTTGGGACTGTTTGATTTACTAGGTTGTGTCGACGAAAAGTATCACCGACAAATTAATAAAAAAATTCATAAAAATTAGCCCAATAAATGTAAAATTTAGTTTTCCAACGTATTTGTTATTGTTTTATTCAAGGGATTTGCAGTTATGTTTTCATTTATGGGTAAACATTACTTGAAACAAAAACAAGTCAGATGTTTCAACACTATGCAATGCATCATCGGGTTACATAACAAATGCACATCAAGCCAAGTTTTCGTTTGCTAAAGTAGGATGGCATTACAGTAGTTAAGAAACAAAGCTACTAATTCATCTGAGTAGATTATTGATCTCAATCTATTTTTAATACGGATTTATTTGTTTATTTTTATTATTGTTATTTAATTATTATTTAATTTAATTATTATTTTTATTTGTTTTTGTTTATTTGTTATTTTTATTTATAGGTCTAGTTATTATTTTTATTATTTTTAAACTAAACTTCTGTAAAGCAAAATTGTTGTAATTATTTCTTTATTTAATTGGAAAGTTATTAAAAGTAATTAGTTAAAAAATATCTTAACATATTGTTGAAGTTTTGAAATTTTTAGGAATTAAATGTTTTTTTCCTTCTTTTTTCCTCTCATATTATTTTTTCGTATTTTATTCTATTTTTTTATTCTTATGTCATTTTTTTCTCATTGGTTTTCTTCTTCTCTTCGTATTTTTCTTTATTTATTACCTCTTCAGTATACATCTAATTTATTGACGGGTCTTATCAAAGTGTAAACAAAACATCTGTTGTTTACTTATCATACTGCTTCTGTTATCTTTTGTCTAGGTGTGCGTAGTAAATGTGCCTATAGATTGCATTTGATAAGCGAAAAATATAGTGTTCATCGGCCCATTAATTGCAGTTTATTTAGTTAAACTATTAAAAAATCTGATGGTTCTCAAGTTTTGCAATAAGTTTTCCAGGTTTTTTGCAAAAAAAATTAGACTACACAATGTGTAATGGGTTGCTTACAAAAATCCAAATAAATTATTCCTATAAAGATCATATATAGTTATTTTTTTATTAACATGATTTTATTACGGGTTTAATTTAATTTCTTCTGGTTTTTAACTGGTTTTAACTAATGTAAAAGTATTATTATAATACCTTAAACAAACCATTTTAATTTTATTTGTTTAGAAACAAATGTAAGAAAAGAAGATATTTAAAAAATATTTTTTTTTATTAAGAGTTTATTTAGAAATAAAAAATGCGGGGAAATATGTTGATTTGCTTTGCTACTTGGTTATATGGCTTATCGCTCAAAACCATTAACTAATATTAAAATTACCTTTCTCACCCCTTACTCTCAACATTCCTTCGTGCGTAATTCAAGAACAAATATCAACATAAATCCAATATATGTTTCTATATCTTCCCATGAGTACAGAATAACCTACCGATATTTTCTAACTCAACAATAAATAAGATTAACAAAAGCTGAAGTACATCCATGATGGCACAAAGTGAAGTTCAAAATGTCAATCATAATGTTTCTAAAAATATTTGAAAAATCACCCAAATTGTCCAAGAGCTCCATCAATGTAATCGATATCACTGTTAACTTTGAAAGTTTGCTCTTCCCGATTTCTACCACCTAATGTCCCCAAAATTAATATTCGACTTACCGCCAGGACGGCGAGGAGGACAACCCCAAAAAGACCCGCAAGTGTGACCGCCTTCATGTTGAGATCCTCTTGCAATGCGCGGGAATCTTCAAGTTCTTTATCAGTAAGTCTTTTATAACGTACAATCTACTATTTGCCGAACACCCAGCAATCAGCATATGTTTACCGTTTTTATTGCTGCGAGTGATACAAAATAAATAGAAGAAAAAAACTGTGAATTACTTCTTGGACCTGGCCTATGTAGGAGGTGAAATTTTGACCATTTTGTTCGTACGTGGGAATCTATCGAATGGGAGGTCAGATTAGATTATTTCAGATAAATAAAGTATGACGTGTTCAAATGTAAATCTATATGGTAGTAGCCCGTACGAACTGACACTTAGTATTTAAGTATGCCGAGATATTTTGTTCTATTAGTTTTCCTCCTCAAACTTTGTACTGTTCCATTGAGGGACGTGTTGGAAACGTATCTGCACCTATGTATCAATGGTTTAGCGATTTATAATGTTGCATGTTATTAGTGTTTATAACACTGTCGACTTCTTGCTCAGTAGGGGTAGGGAATCATAGGATAAACTTAACACGACCTAACAATACTGTCTACTCTTTATGTGGTGTAACTTTCTGAATAAATCAACTTTTTAAAAAGTGTAAATATTTTAAACAGTTTCCAAACAAAGATGTGTCTATTGTATTCATCTCTGGTTGGCATAGAGGGTCAATATATATAGTAGATACGCAATAAGATAGGGGTTTAGAAAATTCAAAATTAAAGTGGTTGGGGGGTAGAATTCTATTACCGATGAAATTTGACTATGTAAGCATTTATATTATGGTCAGTATATGTAGAACCAATGCTTAAAGCTTCAATCTGATAAAAAATCATCAGTGTTAAATTATCTATTCCGTTCAATTTCATATGTATATATATATACAGGGTGTCCCTTAAATAAAATTTAGCATTAAACTACATGGTAACGGTGACAGAATGTCGCAAATTTGAGGTTCCCAGCCTCAACAGTTAGAGAATAACAAATAAATTAAGATTTTTCAAAAATTATTGTAGTTGTATTGTTAATTTAAATGTCATTTTCGGAATCCTCACAACATTTTAAATAGATATAACACATAATCGTTTGGGTACGGAAAATATTCTATTTAAATTTCATCGTTAAACAAATTATTTTTAATATCGACGAAAATTTAAATAACATTCAGCAATTTATATTTCGGTTGTTGAGTTCCGCTGAGTTTATCAAATATTACTAAAAACTTCCTTATTTAAAGGGCTTTACAATGGTGATTAATAGTTTTTACCGTATTTCAAATTTCCTAATGTAATTCGATCATTATTGTGAAAAAAACATGGTAGGGCAAAGAAAATCTCTTCTGAAGAATAATACATTAATTTAAGTGCAGGTAACAAATAATTTGTATTTTTTTCTCGCATGCAACGCTTTGTTTATAACTACCAAGCTAAGAAAAGAAACATAGTAGTGTGTTTGTGATAAAGTTACGGTTATCGTATATTTTTCATATAACATTTAAATTATCTCCCGGAAATTTCTATTTTGTTGAATGGACTTAGTCAATAGATCCAGGTATTTTACTGATAATAATATCTAAGCCATAAGAAAATAAAGCGTACCAGTAGTCATCTATATATCTAATTCCGTAAGCCCAAAATTTTACAATGAAATTGTGAGCGAACTGGAGGCCGTAGAAAGCTGGGAGAGGTCTCATTTTAAAGGTCTGGGCATGAAATTTTGGGGAAAAATATTCATTTTTCTTAATTATGCACCAAAAGGTTATTACAGAATAAAATAATTCACATTTAAATAGCATGGGAATCTAGGTCATGTCTGCTTTGTTTACTTTAAAACATGTGGTTTAACTTTATTTAAAGCATATGGTAATATCACTGACTATTGGCTACAGAAGTTGTATTAATAGTCAAAGGTACTGTATATGTAACTATAGTACATTTGAAGGTAAACATGCGTGCAAATGAAAATGAAACAGAATTTTGTGATTGGCTTCTACGCTTAGGTAATGGAACCTTAGAGAGCAATAGGGCAACACCGGCAATTGACATTCCAGATAACTTTGTTCTCTCTGATTGTGCAATTGTACAACATGTTTATAGCAACTCAATAAATCCAGAAAATATTCAAAACTACTCCAATCAAATAATTGTATGTCCTTTAAATGAACAATGTGATTATTTAAATGAAGAAGTATTAAAAATAATCTAAGGAGACTATAAGGAATACTACAGTAATGATGAAGTAGTTTCAGAAGACCCTACAGAGAGGTTGAACATACCAATTGAGTTTATAAATTCAATTACCATCTGGAATGCCACCACACAAATTAGTTGTAAAAGTTGGTTCAATAGTGATGCTCATAAGAAATATGAACCTAGGGTCTGGATTAGTTAATGGAGTACGATTGGTTGTGTTAGGTATGTCTGAAAAAAGTGTAAAGTTAGAAGTAATTACTGGAGTAGGCAAAGGGAACATATTTTTCATGCCAAAAATAAAACTAATATCTACAGATCCTAATATGCCCTTTAAATTTACAAGGATTCAATTCCCATTGCGATTAGCTTTCGCTATTACTATAAGTAAAGCGCAAGGCCAAACCTTCTCAAAAGTTGGCATTTATTTGAAGAAAAAAAACAGTGTTTACCCATTGTCAACTTTATGTTGCATTTAGCCGGGTAAAGCGGCCAGATGACGTTAAAATAGTAATAGAACCAAATAATGACCAAGGAATGGACCAAAATAGATATTATACAACAAATGTTGTTTTCAGAGAGATTTTGTTACATAATTAGTATTTTACAATTTGGAAGATGACATTATCTCTATGTGTTGTGTTTTTTCTAAGTGAATGTGTCTATATTCAAAGAAATTGTGATTGGTGTACATAATGCACCACGTAGGTATATCACTAGGCCTACTTTTCATTTTTAACACTAAAACAATGATAAACGTAATAACACACATTTATGTATAGCCTATATATTTAATTAATAGTCAATAAGATTATTATTGAAAATGTTCTATTGTTGTATTATGATTAGAAATTTTTTTTATAAACACACCACATGAAGAGTCCTTTCGAATTTTTATCCTAAACAGAGTAGACATAAAAATGAATTATGCAGGTACGTGAAAACTATTATACATTATTATAATATACAAAAAATTTAAACGATAATTCAAGGTAGGGTACGGTAACCCATGAGACAAATAATTTGTACAAAATAATTATTAGAATATATTACATATATATAGGGGCTATTGCCCCTACAAGCCACTAGTATTTTAAAAAGACCTATCAGTCACATGCGGACAGTGATCGGTCAACTATGTCTTTTTCGATTCGGGAGTATGTTGAAATGCATTTTATTTATGGTTTGTGTAACGGTAATGCGTCGGCTGATCGCACCACCCCCAGTACGTTTACTAGAGTGCATCAACGTTTGCTGGAACAGGATCGGTTGAGAAGAAGAAGAAAGAAGTAGGACCTGTGCATGATGTTGCAGCTGAAGAGAGTGTAATTCAGAGAGTTATGGATAATCCTACTACTAGTGTTAGGCAGCTTGCCCTTGAAACTTGTATGTCCCGGTGGAAAGTACATAAAGTGTTAAAGGACAATAACTTCCATCCGTATCATTTTACAAAGGTCCAAGGATTGGAGCTTCGTGACTTCGAATCCAGAAAGGAGTTCTGCCGCTGGCTTCTTCAACGTGATATTGTTGAATATCACTTCCTTAAAAAATACTATAGACTGACGAATCCCGTTTTACCAGTGAAGGTGTGATAAATAGTCACAACATGCATCTTTGGCATATTAAAAATGCAAAAGCCTCCAGAAAAGCTTCTTTTCAAAAAAGGTTTGGGATCAACGTAAGGGTAGGTGTGATTCAAGATAAGTTAATTGGTCCTCATATCTTCGAAGGAAATCTGAACGGTGATTTATATCTAGATTTTCTTCAGCACTCTCCACCTCAGTTGTTGGATGAAATTGATCCTCGACATTGAGCTGAAATCATATTTCATATTTCAGCAGGTGGTGCTCCGTTCGGTTGTGGCTATCCCAAAACTACCCGATATGGATTGGACGTGCAGGAAAATAAATGTGACATGGCCTCCTCGATCTCCAGACTTTGTTTGGGGTTACATGAAAAGTCTAGCTTACTCAACTGTTGTAAACTCTGAAGTTGAGTTACGGGAGAGAATCTTTGAGGCTGCTGGGTAAGGAAGGGAAAAAAATTACGTATGAGGTCACAGTTGGCGCAATTCGCAAACGAGCTAAGGCCTGCTTGCGAGAGGGCACTATACACCCAAACTGTGATTTGTGCTTCGGACAAAGTATGTCATTGATTTGTTTAATGTGTTAACTATCCTTTCGTATTGAAATTAATGTGTGTATTGTGTTTTTTACTAATGTATTGTGTTTTTTAATAACATATTTTCCAAAGTCTTAAAAAAACTCTTTAGTTTGGCGGAAGTGTAGTCTGGTCATTCATAAATTATACAAACCCTCGTTATCAGTGGTCAGCTCATAAAATAGTAAGTAAAATTTTATTATTTGTTACAATATCTGTTCTGGCTTGACGTGATTTTTCACAATAGTGCGTAAAATTCACCATAGATTTGACAGTAGGTAAATGTTGTTATACATCATTGTAAAGCCCGTTAAATAAGGAAGTTTTTTAGTCATATTTGACAACCTCGCCGTGACTCGGCAACCGAGAAATAAATTGCTGAATGTTATTAACATTTTCGTCGATATAAAAATAATTTGTTTAACGAAGAAATTTAAATAGAATATTTTTCCGTACCCCAATGATTATGTGTTATATCTATTTACAATTTTGTGAGGATTCTGAAAATTACATTTAAATTGACAATAAGTGCATTTTTAACAGAGTAAAAAACCTTTTTCATAACAACTACATTAATTTTTGAAAATCTTAATTTATTTGTTATTCTCTAACTGTCGAGGCTGGGAACCTCAAATTTGCGACATTGGGTGAAGTGAATAAAAACTAGTACATACTACGTAGTTCGTACTACGTAGTTCTAGCACTTGCTCAA